ACACACACACACACACACACACACACACACACACACACACACACACGGTGCCCCACCCTACATAAAAGTCTTGTTCTGCCCCTGCTATGAAGAAAAGACAGTTTTGGACCTTTTCATGTTTGCTGTTTGATGTAAGCAGAGATATTTTTTTCCACATCTCATGGAGATCATTTATTCTGACCATGCACCAGTAAAATGTCAGCTCCACCGCACTTTTCTGCCTAGAGAGATTCTCCGGTTCTACCCGACCGTTCTATCCCGGGAGACTTTTCTGCCTCACGTCACTCTCCTTCAGGTCAGCAGGAACTCAGCGAGCAGTTTCTCACACAAAGGTCAGGGCTGGGCTGCATGATCCACTGAGCAAAGACTAATTTCATTTTTTTCCCCCTTCATCTTCCTGGGCTAATCAAGAGTCATAACTAGCTAACCTAAAATAACTATAAAACATGTCCATGGGAGGTTTGTGGGAAAAGAACAAACTGATTTGAATATCACTGAGGAAAACAAGGTACCCTACAACCCAACCAAAATTATGAGCTCATAGCCAAATCTACAGACACTCCTGATCTCAGCACTGCAAAACAAATTTCAAGAGCAAAGCACATTCATAGGAAGTCAGGGACTCAAACATCATCCAGCAGTTTCATTTTCTTATTTTATTCATATATAAACAGTGCTTTTTTGAAAAATCCAACAAATGTGTTTAAGTGGTTTTAATATTGATATAAGGAGTTAAAAGACATTTGCTTTCACGTCTGAAGTATTTCCACTGGTGTTCTGTGATCTGCAGCATGTTTGAAGCTCACAGCTGGATGTGGACGCATGAAGAGGCTGATGGGAGATAAAAGAAAAAAAAGATGCTGGTCAGAAGTCGGAGGATGATGTGACAGAGAGGTGTTCTGTGATGTTCAAGTCTGAACCTGCATTTATCTACCGCCTGACAATCTCTCCTACCAACCCGGGATGGAAAAATACCAACCTGGATTATATCTGTGTAATGCTGTCCTGTCTCTCATGCTTTCAATGAAAATGATGTTTTGTGCTGTTTGATGTGTTTAACGAAGCTCGGCTGATGACTTTTCTGTTGTGGTGCCAAGCACACAATCAAGTCCAAAAGAATCAAGGCCATGTTTCCAGACAATGATCATCGTGAAAAGCATTATTTTCCTCTTAAAAGCTGTTCTCAGAACTCATTTGCATGATTGCCAAAGCAGCAATCAAGTGCAAATCTATGCAAATGATGCTAAAGAGCTTCTTAACGCTGGATTAGAAGACATAACAGTTCTGTTTAGTCACTTGAAATATCTTTTATGTTCAACTTGTAACCTTGTAATCTACAAACATCAGTTAAATTGAAAATGCAGTAACTTCAGACTGGTGTTACTGGGAGTTAATTGTTTGTGTTTAGTTCAAAAAGAAAAAATAAGTAGGTCCTCTGGATGGGTTCTTCTTAAGTGAAACGTTTCGTCTCTCCTCCAAGAGACTTCTTCAGTCTGATGAGTGTCAGGTGAACTCAGCCTTATAAGCACTGCCTCCACATGGACAAACAGGTTAGTCACATGCAAAAGAGGGTCATCGCCTAACAATAGGCTTGATTAGCTCTATTTAGTCCCATGCAAAAGATAAGATAAAAATTTATTGATCCCACAGTGGGGAAATTTGCACATTACTGCAGCTTAATACAGGAGAGGCTGAGAAGAGTAATGAAAGATAAATAAAAGATAACAAACAAAAACCGCACAATATACACATGTGATATATAGTAATGTACATATACCAATCCACATATACTAGGGGTGTAAGAAAATATTGATACACTGAAATATCATGATATTTCATTTCCCGATACTGTATCGATATTCTAAAGCCCTGTATCGATTTTTTATTAAGGTTTAAAATGTCAACTTTCCCGCCAGCCGTTCATTTTTATGTTGTAGTTCAGCCTCTGACCACTAGTTGGCAGCAGTGAGTCAGCCATTTGGCTCCTCTACCTCTTGAGGTAGAGGCTATTGTTAAGTGTTGGGTGACCATATTGTAAATTAATATTAAAAACTAAAAGCTGCAAAAAATATGTTTTCAAACTATTTATTGTAAAATTTAGTCTAATAATTGAAAACATGGATGAAATAAGAAATATGAAACAAATAAAATAAAATACATACAAAGCAGAACACAGCTAAATGTATCAAAAGTATGTCTATATAATATTAGAATTTTCTGAGACTATGAATTTTGGTTTTTCATTTTTTCCTGTAAGAGGTTTTTATTTAATAGAATTTTTGGACAAAAAAATAGCAATATATCGCCTTGCTTATAGTATCGCAATATATCGGGATATATCTTATCATGACCCCTCTGTCATGATATGCATCGTATCGCCAAATTCTTGCCAATACACAGCCCTAACATATACACATATACATAAACACATGTGCATAGTTATATAAATACATACACACCGTACAGTACAAAAATGAATGTATATGAAGGTACATTTTAGTGATGGCAGTGTAGGTGAATTGTCCAAGTGACTGATAACATCATGATGTGTTATACAGTCTAACTGCAGTTGGAATGAATGAAGTGCTCCTTCCTGCAGTGAGGATGAAGGCCAAAAAAGGGCCATCACCTAACAATAGGCTTGATTAGCTATAAAAAATGTCCATGGGAGTTTTGTGGGAAAAGAACAAACTGATTTGTATATCACTGAGGAAAACTGAGCTGCACATGACCCTCTATGAACAATCGAGCTAATCAAGCCTATTGTTAGGCAATGGCCCTCTTTGCATGTGACTAACCTGTTTGTCCATGTGGAGGCACTGCTTATAAGGCTGAGTTCACCTGAAACTCATCAGACTGAAGAAGTCTCTTGGAGGAGAGACAAAACGTTTCACTAAGGAATAACCCATCCAGAGGACCTACTTATTTTTTCTTTTTGATTTTTTCTACCTGGATTACTGAGATGCATCAGGACATTTTTGTGTTTAGTTGTAATGTTTGCTCTTGGGTTGAAACAATAACATGACTCATTTTGCCTGAATCAGCTCACCTTCGTCTCAGTCTGTCTCCTTTTTCAGGTATTTCTTCATGACTAAAGCCACATCTCCCCCTTCACTGCCCTCTGCTTCCAGTCTCTCTCCCTGCGGCCTCTCAAACCTCCGTCTCGGCCCGCCGCCCTGGGAGCTTCCTCCTGATCCGCCTGAGCTGGAGGACTCCGTTTCAGAGGTTTTCCTGCTGCGGATCGAGGGAGGCAACTCTCCAAAATGGACGCTCAGAGCTCTCCGGCCTCCTTTGACTGAACCGGCCAGGCTGCTGGTGGACTGGGCTCTCCGGATTGCAGGCAGGATGTCAGAGGCTGCGTCGGAACGGTCACCAGCTAGACAGCGGTTTTGGAAAACCAGTGGTTCCGAAACCAGCAGGCCTTCGCTTCCATCTGCTGCTGTGTGATTCCCCAGCATGCACCGCCGTAGTATTTGTGGGGAGCGCTGGATGGGAGTTCTCACTGCAGGAGAACGTTCACCGAGGTCTTCCTCTGGGATGGACAGGGATGGCGGATGATTGCGAGCGGCTACAGCGGTCGACAAGGAGGAGAGGTGTGGCAGTGACGGGAGAGAAGTCTGAAAATCATCTGAGTTGAAGCGGGAGGCCTTTGTGACGCCTGCAGACACCTGAGAGTCGGCAATGGAGCGAGTGCTGGCAGCCCGAGGCAGGAGAGGGGAGGATGGCTTCAGAATGCTAGGACCAGGTCGGGGTTCTTGAGGATCATCCGGACCAAGAGAGAGGGCCGAGGCTCTCCGTCTGAGAGTCGAGGCTCCGGTCGTTTGGTAAATTGGTAAAGACACGGCGCTGCCAGCTCGCTCGCCCGCATCAGCACCACCTCTACGTTTACGTAGTCCGTCGAGCAGCTCGGACAGTGCGGAGGAAGATGGAGCTTGACCTGGACGTCTGGCACTAACTCCTTTAGCCTCAGAGCCCTCGTCGTCCAGATCCACACAAGAACTGTAAATCGGTAACAGAGAAAATGAACTGAAGTTAACAGGATATTATTGTATCCAGGAAATGTTCTTCTTAAATGCTCTTCTGGCACTAAAAAATTACAATGATTAAATAAACTTTTTATCTAAACGAGGTTTCAGTGGGCTAAAAAGAAAAAAGTCAGTTGGACACAGAAATATCCAGTAATAAATCACAGATCTGAGCTGAACATGATGATCATTTTTGGTACTGGGAGAGTTTTAGGCGGTTGTCTTCCATTTGAAAGATCAGAAGTGTGATCCTCTCGGCCCTTAAACTGGGAACACACTACATGATTTTACACACTCTTCCCAGTTGGGCAAAGTCTGCAGTAGTTTGAATCAGTTGGGGACAGTCAGCCTGGCTGTTAGCAAAACTCTGTGAAGACCAGTGGTGGGCACCAGCCCGCTAAAGCGCAAATCCACTAATCGCAGACCTAAATATTTCATTTGCGCTTTAACGGTCTTATTAATTTTTATAATTCATAAGCGGATTGGCACTTTCTCAAATTAAAATGCAGTACCGCTAATAACTAATTATTTACCAGTCATCATTATCTTGAACAGTGGAAGGTATGACTTTCAGTGAATCACAACACACATGATCTATCCAACAGCACCCCTCAGATAAACACACTTATTGTCAGAGCGTTTGCCCCCTACTGACCTACGGCTGAATCACAAGCGTTCATACAAAAGTCTCATCTACTGTTATTATAACGTTTTAATTATGTGTTGTTTATAATTCGGACATGTATAATCTATATCAATCAAAACATAACAGATTAAACATTGTCAACATTACAAAAAGGAAAACCTAAAAAATATGGTGTTGTGCTTTTAACATCAGTACTAACCTCTAATAAATATAAATTTCTTCATTATGAATGTGAATACTTTTGACACCTCTGCTTATTGTGAAGGTATACATCCTTGCTGACTGTTGCTTTCGGTCAGGGTTCTCATTTCCCACAACGCTTTGTGTCTGCTTACGTAGCAGGAAGGCAATGTTTAGAACTCCCTGTCCCAGCTAAAACAATAAATGTTGGTAATCCATACTAAAATTTTGTATGTATTGATTTACGTATTTTACTTTACAATCGGAGCTCCTTTTTTAAAAAAATATAGTTTAAATGCTGGAGCTCAATACTTGACGTAATTGGTCGAAGCAATCGGCATTGAGGTTAAAGATTCAGAAATGATTTAAAGATGTTATGCTGATGAAGACTGACATCTAGTGGTCAACTGGAGCAACTACATGGAAAACTTTAAAATCCAAGCTCTTATTTTGAAGGGAAGATAGTTTCCTTTTCTCCGTGATTTCGTTTCCCGTCACAAATCAAATCCGTCATGTACCCAGAATGCATTGTTTCAGTTTTCCAATAAACAGTTTTAAAATTACTTTGTTGATGCTTTTTTAATGAAAAATCTACAACAAACGAAAGAAAAAGACAAAGAAGCAGCCGAACTAGCAATCCTCAACAACTTTTTAAAGAAGCAGCTGAACTAGCAATCCTCAACAACTTTTTAATTTTTACACCAGGAGCCAAAGTTCTGTTTCAGGAAATCACATCCACAGCAATCGGCTGTTATACTGTAGGTTTAAGCTGTACAAGAGTTCATACTCCGCTAGTTGGCAGTGTTGTGCATATATTGTACATGAATTGTTGACATCTAATAAGTGTCAAATTGAACTTGCGCTTTAAATTTAGCTTCTGCTAGTTACTCTATGGCATTAGCGCTTTAGAAATTGCCGAGCTAATTTTTGGATTAGCGCTGCCCACCACTGGTATTGGGAGACTCTAGGGTTGTCATACCTCTCATGCACAGATGTTCTTTAAATTTGTTTTATGGTGTGTGTTTTATAATATTGTGCAAATAAATAAATAAAATAATAAGAGACTGCATACAAACACAATCTTTAACATGAATAATCAACTTCAATGTAAATTTTGTAACACAAAACTGGAAATGTACTTTTAAGTATTTACATGAATATTTTCAGACCGTTGGATGGGAATGGTTCACTCTGGTCTTAATCTGACTAATCATTCTGAACTAATGTCTTGTTCATAGAGCTGTCTGCAGCAAGTGAGATACTGACAGCTTATAAACTTTCCGCAGAAACAACTGTGATTTAATTAACTGGGATTTGAGTTCTTTGAGTTCATGTTTTTGTTCAAAAATTATGTGTGGCCATGGGATAATTATTTTTTAACCCATTGTCACCAAACGGGCTCTGCAGAATCAGACTTACCGGAAGCTGTAGGTGCTCATTGTATCAGTGACGGACTGGCGGCCATCTTGGCTGCCGTAAGGAGAACCCACAGTGCGTGACCCTCCTCTTGAAGCTCTCGACCAGTTACGCATGCCCTCTCCAACATCCTCTGTCCCCACAGAGCCAACACTGGACACAGAGTCACTGCAGGAGAAAATACAAGACTCAAACACACAACTTCCCCCTGCTGTAACTGTTCCAGTTTGCATTAATGACTGCACTGAGCAAGCAGGCACGTCACAAACAATAACATGTCAACAACTGGAGATAAGCCAAGGCATATAGCGGGTAAAATAAGTATTGAACATGTCAACATTTTTCTCAGTAAATATATTACTAGAGGTGCTAATGACATGAAATTTTCACCAGATGTTCGTAAAAACCCAAGTGATCCATACATACAAAGAAATCAAACCATAAATGTCCAGAAATGAAGTTATTTGTAATAATGTGGAATGGCACTGGGAAAATGTATTGAACACATGAAGAAAGGGAGGTGTAAAAAGGCATGGAAAGCCAAGACACCAGCTGAACTCTCTCAGTAATTACAGGTGCTGGTCATAAAATTAGAATATCATGAAAAAGTAGATTTATTTCAGTAATTCCATTTAAAAAGTGAAACTTGTGTATTATATTCATAC